AAGAGAGAGAGAGAGAGAGAGAGAGAGACTTAATTGACTGGAGGGAAGGCCTTCTTGAATAACCAAGTTTTTAACTGGCTTTTCTGCAACTGAGCATGTAGTCTTCAAAAGGACATGATGGACAGGCAAACCCATCTTCCTTTGACCTCCTAACATCATTCTTGGTGTCTTGATCGCACTGAACTAGGATTTGAAATAAAGGAAAGTTTGTGTTTGAAGATTTAAAAACGTTTAGCTATTATAAATGACAAATATATAGTGAAATTTCCTTTGCAACTTAAGAAAAAGGGCATTAATGGAAATGCACAGACTGGGGGTGTGTGACCTTGGAGGTTTAAATTATGCTGCCTTTTATCCCTTTTAAATGTCAGCCACCACCTCAGCTTTGCATCATTTTCATATGACATCCTTGGAGTAATCATTTTCCACTTTGAGCCTTTAAAGTTTGTTGTGTTTTTTTTCTCCTACCTTGTTCCAATATTGATAGCCCTATTAGCATGGATTTTTATATCCAAATTTGTCTTGGTAGTGATGAAAGAGTGTGTTCCTGGTGGAGATTGGTGCTTTTTAAAAAATGTGCATATTGTTACATTTTGCAGTCATAAACTTCTTCTGCATGCTCATTTGTTTCCAGCTGAGGGAGCTAGGGAGTGTAGCTTACCAAAAATATCTTGCTTTCAAGAATTTCAGGAAATAAATAAGCTGTTTTTCCAGCAGCCTAAGTCTGTTTTTATTGATGGTTGTTGTGGTTTTTTCAAGTTCTTTGGCTATGCTCTGAAGGTTGTTCTTCCTGATGTTTTGCCAGTCTCTGTGGCCGGCATCTTCAGAGGACAGGAGTCAGAACTCTGTCTGTTTTTATTCTCGCCTTATGCTCTGTTTACAGTGAAAAAAAGAAAAGGAGATTCAAGCTCTTAAAGGTATATCAGTCATGATGGCTGGTGGGGATTTTATCGGCTTTTAGGTTAGTATATAATAAGTTTAAAGCAAACTTAGATAATTGAAATGCCTGTAGGGTTCTAAAAATATTTATATATTTAAGTTATCAAAGTAACTGATCAAGCTCTCCAGCCTTCCATTATAAAAGAATGTGTAATGTGAAGGACATTATAAGTAAGGAGCCAAACAACAACAAAAAAAGCACGTGAAGACCTTTCTCTTCAAGCAAGCTTTTCCTTAATGACTGGCTGCCTGAATGGGGTTTTAAATGGATAGTTGTATTACAAAACTTGGGTTCAGCTCCTGGGTGGGTTAGCCAAATACCCAACTAAGAGAAAGAGAAAAGCAGACTGCCACCTAGAAGGACTCTGAAAGATTTTATTCTGCACAGAATACAAGATACACTAGCTCATGCTGCCCAAAAAGAGCAGAAAAGAAAGATTGAGTCTTATAAGTATTGGCGTGGGGCCAAAACTCCAGAGGCTTAATGAGGCCCTGGCCTCAAGAAAACTTCTTAGAGTCCTGTTGAATGTGAAGCCTGGCAAGGGCACTCTGTTTGAAAGACAAGCCTTGAAACTAAGGACACTAGTTATACAGAGCCTCTTATTAAACTGCTTCCATTATTCCCCCTTAAATATAGCAAAGTAAGAGAGACGTAGGGAGAAAACAACATGAGAGAGTTCTTAATGATTATAATATAATACATTGCATATGACTACACATATATACAAAGCAATATACATTTGGCATAATAACATTCAGAGCAGTAATAACATAGAAGCAAATGACCACGAGACTTACTGCTGAGTGGCAAAGATCTGTTCTTCATCGTGGTCTTCTGTGAATGCACACGAAAGGGTTAAATCAGCGCCAGCGATGATCCTCTCGGAACGTTCTAGAGCTAAAAGAAACAAAGTTGTAGATTAGGTACACTGCGCATGCTCCTCCCACCCAGCCTTAGTTCCATTTCTCCGCCGTGCGAAGTGGTTCCTTTCGGCTAGAGCTCCTGATTTATTATCTTATTCTTGGATAAATTTCGGTTTTTCTGACTTTGGACTGCTTAGACTACTCTAAAATCCCCTATCCTGACGCAGATCATGTATTTGGACTTTGGAACTGGTTTTTCCCTGGCTTTGGAGAAACGGTGTTTTTTCCTGCCTAAGCCAACGGTCTCCCGGGCAAGGTGGATTTTTTCCCCTTTTGCGGCTTATGTCCCCGTCCGGTCTGTTTAGCTGCTGCGTGGACTGCAATCGGAAGCTCCCCTTTCAGGACAGACACGAAAAGTGCCTTTTTTGCCTGGGGGAGGCACATTCCCCACAAGATTGTAGGCATTGTAGGGCCTTCACAAAACCTGCCCTACGTGCATGTCAGCAGCGTTTAAAATATCATCTCTGGGACGTGGCGCTGGCTGCTTCAAAACCATCCTCAATGGAGCTTCCCGCCTCTGCAGCTACCCCCTCCACTTCCGCTAGCCTTGTTCAGCCACCTTGTACCAAGGCTCAAAGCAAAATTGGGGACAAACCTAAGAAATCTTCGAAAAAGTCATCTGCTGCAAAAGCTGCAGCAGCTAAGCCTGCAAAGCAACCAAAGAAAAAGCCGGTTAAGGACATCGGAACAGCGGAGCAACTGCTATCTGCTCCTGTCTCCCTCCCGTCTCCGATTCTGGAGGAGTTTCCAAGAGACGGAGAGTCCCTGTCGGAGGTACCGCTCTCGCTACCTCCTAGACAGGCTGAGCCACTGATTATTCCTCGGGCTTTGTCCCCGACACCTAACCAGCTTGCCAGCGCCACCGCAAACTTGGTGTCTCCGCCCCACAGCCCTGTGTCTACCGGGCGGTCGTCTTTGGCTCATTCCTCCTCATCGGCATCAAGACAATCTTCGCCGCCGAGGAAGCGTTCACGCAAGACCAAGCACATGTCGAAACGCCGACGCCGATCTCCCGACAGGCGTTCTCGGCACCGACACAGGTCTCCCTCGGAGGATTCTTCATCTTCGTATTCGCCCCCGAGGAAACATCGACGTCAACACCGGAGGCGCTACACATCTACCTCATCCTCGACGTCGCAAGAGAGGCATCGACGTCGAAGGAAGGAGAAATACATTTATGCTTCATCATCTTCATCTTCACCTCCTCCGCGGCGACATCGACGTCGACATCTCCTCGACATCGAACCAACACTACCATCCAGCGGACAGCTGAAGGATGCTTCTGCCCCTGTTTCTTCTGCACCATCTTCCGCGATTATTCCACAGCAACCTGTTAGAGAGCCGGCACGACCTCAACCGGCACCCCGTAAAAGAAGGCATTCACCCTCCTCTCAGGAAGATTCTCTTTTTTCAGATAGCTGTTCTGAATCAGAAGATGAACCCCACCCTCAGGATGGTAAAGGAGACTTGCCACTGGGTGAAGTTGTTGGCTCAGATACGGGTGACCCACATGCCTCCTCGCCATCGGAGGATTTTTCGTCGTATTCACAAATGCTTGCCAGGCTGGCTAAGGTTCTTAAGCTTCAGGTTGATGCACCGGCTATAGCCGAGGAGGACCTGATATTTGGAGACATCAATAGTGAGAGGTCCCCTCCACCTACTTTGTCTTACCTCTCTGCTTTGGTTAATATAATTGAGTTCTGGGAACAACCGTTGAATACTCCTTCTCTATCTCGACGCACTGAAAACCTCTATCGAATATCAGGAGAAGATACCAGATTTCTTCTCAAACATCCGATTCCCAATTCGTTAATAGTGGAGACTAGTTGTACTAGACCAACGGGAAGGTCACATGTCACTCCCACTAACAAGGAAGGAAGGAAACTTGAGGTGCTGGGCAGAAAAATTTATTCGCTGATCTCTTTTATTTTAAGAGTCGCCAACTATCAGACTGTGTTAGGGGCATATCAGAAGCAGCTGTGGCTTAAAATCTTACCAGGGTTGCGGATGATACCTGAGGAGGCTAGACAGGACTTTCTCAATACGTACGAAGAGGTCAAATGGTCTCGAAGCATCTTCGTATAGCCACAAAACATTCTGTTGAAGCTTCAGCTAGGATTCTCATGTCTGCTGTCACTCTGCGCCGACATGCTTGGCTTAGAGAGGCCAACATACTAGATGATGTCAAGGCGAAAGTGGAAAATCTGCCTTTCGACGCTTCTGGTCTTTTTAGTGACAGAACTGATTTGTACCTCGAGGAGCTACACAAGGCAAAAAAGACTGCCAAATCATATTATATACAACCGCAACCTAGATACACTAGATACCACTGGAAAAAAACTTACAATCAATACTCTCAAGGTTCTCAGTACAAACAGTTTAAAGGACAATCCCAAGCAAGATCCTCCAATCCTGCTCCATCTTCCAATACTTACCGTCCACAACATTCCCAGCGCCGCCAAGGGTATAAGCAGCCTGCCAAAAAAAGCAAAACAGTATCTTTGACCCGGTCGCCTTCGTTTCAACACAACACATTACAAGACTTTCTCCTTATTTCCAAAATTGGTCAATTATTACAAGAGACTCTTGGGTACTAAACATCGTTCAGCTCGGTTATCTTCTGGAGTTTATAAAATCACCTCCTCTAGGGCAGGTTCTCTCTACATCATCAGATCCTATCCTAGAAGAAGAAGTTCTTTCTTTGTTAAAGAAAAATGCCATTCAAAGAATTCCCAGTACAGATATAAAAAAGACTTTTATTCAAGGTATTTTGCCGTTCCCAAGAAGGACGAAGGCGTCAGACCAATTTTGGACTTAAGACTCCTAAATACTTACCTCCATCCACAACGATTCCGCATGGTCACCTTAGAATCCATAATCCACCTGTTGAAAAAGAACAATTGGTTTCTGGTCATAGATTTAAAGGATGCATATTTTCATATAACGATCCACCCCCACCATCGCAAATACCTCAGATTTCTCTTTCGCGATGCCATTTACCAGTTTCTGGCTTTACCATTCGGCTTAGCCACAGCTCCCAGAACCTTCACAAAATGTATGGCGCCGGTGGCCGCCTTCTTACGTCTAAAGGGAGTTCAAGTATTCCCGTATATAGACGATTGGTTAATAGTCTCCACCTCCAAACGTCGCGCTCTGAAAGACAAAAAATATGTTCTTCATGTTCTGCGCCGCCTAGGTCTAACAGTAAACATCAAAAAATCTCGTCTAGTTCCGTCGCGAGTCATCGATTACATCGGGGCGAAATTAGATGCGAAGAAAGGGCGCATTTTTTTGCCAACAGAGCGTATACTAAAAATTCATCGAGCAATACGAAAGTTTCATCCGGGGCAAGACTAACAGCAAAACATGCCCAACATCTTCTCGGCTTGATGGCCTCAACCACCCCAGGGTTGGCTCACGCCAGATTGAAGCTCAGGTCCCTTCAAGCGTGGTTTCTGTCACAATTCAACCCAGAGACAGACCGCCAAAGCAAGCAGCTTCCAGTCACCCGGGAGTTAGCTCGACAGCTCCAATGGTGGACCTTCCCACCTCATTTGACAATAGGACGCCCGTTTCGATCGATCCGGCTGTCAGTACAGGTGACTACAGATGCCAGCCCTATTGGTTGGGGTGCGCACTGTGGTCCTCACAAAATACATTCCCTGTGGACGGCGCAAGAGAAGGTACTACACATCAACCACCTGGAAATTCTAGTGATTTTCAAAGCGTTCAAGACTTTCCTAGCTCTGGTACAGGGTTGTGGGGTCCAGGTGGTCACGGACAACACCACGGCCCTGTATTATGTGAACAAGCAGGGAGGCACACGTTCACAGTCGCTCCTTCTCATCACTGTAATGTTTTGGGAGTGGTGCTACCACCATCATGTCTTCCCCGTAGCGATACATATTGCGACAGAGGACAACACGGTGGCAGACTATCTCAGTCGCCGTACCAATCAGACACACGAGTGGCAACTAGACAACAAGACCTTCCAACACATTTGCCAACGTTGGGGCACTCCAGCCATAGATGTGTTTGCAACGTCTCACAACCGAAAGTGTCCTGCTTACGCCTCCAGAGCAGGCAGAGGCGCAGGGTCATCAGGAGATGCGTTCATGATCAGTTGGGGCATAGGTCTCATATACCTGTTTCCACCCTTCCCACTCATTCAGAGAACATTGGTCAAGATCAAGGACGAGGCAGCGGAGACCATTCTAATAGCACCGTTTTGGCCCCGTCAGCCGTGGTTCCACACGTTAATGTCAATGTCCACAGATGTTCTACATCTTCCTCTCTTTCCGGAGCTCCTGACGCAACATGCAGGCAAGATGCTCCATCCCAACCTGGACTCACTTCATCTCCACGCGTGGAGGATATCCCACAAATCAGGGAGGTACTAGCAATGTCTAAGAAGCCATCCACCACGAGATTGTACACTTATAAGTGGCAAAGTTTCTTAAAATTTACGGCTTCAAGAAGACTGGTTCCGTCTCCAACAACCCTATCTACCCTGCTCCAGTTTTTGCGTTATCTCTTTGACTTTAACCTTTCCATTTCCACTTTAAAGGTGTATATAGCAGCCTCATGGTTCTTCAGCTTCACGCCTTTTTTCACACCCAATGGTAAAGGCTTTCCTGAAGGGGTTGGCTAACCTAAGGCCACCAGTTCGACCGCCAGCTCCGCAGTGGTCTTTGCAGTTGGTCCTTCATGCCCTTATGCGACCTCCCTTTGAGCCTATGGCTCACTGTGACTTAAAGCTATTAACCCTTAAAACCCTTTTTCTTGTGGCTATTACCTCCGCCCGATGTGCTAGTGAATTGGCTGCCTTGAGGGTGGACCAGCCTTTTTTACAGTTTTTCAGAGAGAAAGTTATTCTCCATACTGATATCTCCTTTCTTCCCAAGGTGGTATCTGATTTTCATTTAAACCAAACTCTTATTCTACCGACGTTGTTTCCTGATCCTTCTAATGACAGGGAGCGCATGCTTCATACACTGGATGTTCGAAGGGCACTAGCCTTTTATGTTTTTAGGTCCAAGGAATGCCGTTTATCTAACAAACTGTTTCTGTGTTACTTTGGTTCTAAGAAAGGGTTACCAGCGTCACCGTCAACCTTGTCAAGATGGCTTGTTGCTACCATCTCACTAGCCTATGAACTTTTGCATAAAGACCCCCCAGAAGGACTTAGAGCACATTCTACCAGGGCAGTGGCCTCCTCTACAGCTCTCTTGCGGGGCATCGACGTACCCGATATCTGTAGAACTGCCACGTGGTCTAATACTTCTATGTTCATC